AAATTTGGTTGTGACGATGATACCATGCTCTGATGATGTTCGTCGTATAACTGACGAAAACTTAGCACTTTTTCACTGGAATCTAAGGAGATTAACTCGGAAACAGCGTCAGCATGAATCTGCAAGTAAAGCCAATCGACAGCTGGTCGAGAGGAACCGGCCTTCGTCTTCTGGTGGAACCGACCTTCAAATCTCTTCACCCAACACTTTCACTCGAAATGGATGTAAGCTCAACAAGGTGTACATTACTTCTTCACTCCTAGTGCAACCAAGAGGACATGTTTGGCCGGACGTGCCGCTTGAGCCCGTGTTGCTAGATTCCTGTTACTCGTATAAGAGATATTCATTCAGGATATTATATAACTATATACGCACCAATTATTGTTCTGCGTATGCGAATGCAAACTGATGGACACTTATTGCTTTTAATATCCGCTATATTTAGCTCGGTAGCCTGTTCCAACGGCGCCTTTATCCAATTTTTCTTCCCATACAACTGCCAGTCTTGATTTTCGTGCTTGGTTATAAGCCGGCCTTCTAAATATCTAGCTTTTGCGTGTATTCCAAGATGTCATAATAGTAATAAGCATAATGGTTGTACCGCAAATTCATTATGCATCATTATCTTATTAGTAGAGCCTTCGAGGTGCCTATGCTTTCAGCAGATCTTTAGGAAAAAAGATTTGTTCAGCGATAATCTGTAACCCCTATAATATGAAATAGAGAAGGGCGGCAAGAGGATGCGTATCTAAGTAGCTTATGTCACTGAAAAGAACCATAAGGAAGGTAAATGTCTGGTTCAAAAAAGCAGCTATATATATACAGTTAAACGCACAGGGGGCTAAGGGAGGTCATAAATTTTTTACAGTTTGCAGCTATCTAGTTGCCCCAGATGTGCCTTGATTCTGAGTCGAGTGCCCAGCATCTGGCCAATCGTCTCCACTGGAAGAGTCAAAAGATGAATCTGAAGACATAGTATCTATTTCGCCCGAAGCTGAGGCGGCTGTCTGACAGTCAGTGCGCCCAGGAGTACCGATCCCGGGTGGGCCAGACAAGAGAGAGCTAGGGTGTTCATTCGAAGGGCCTGGAGGTGGAGTTGGGTGATGTAGGTGAGGCGGTGGTAGGGGCGGTGGAAGCGGGGGTATCACAGCTGCACGTCCGGAGCCAACTTGGACTGCATCGCGCTTATTACGCTTTCGCCCAACAGCTTGTTGACCAAGAGGAACCTGCTGTCTAGCGACCAGATGATCGGTCAGACTCCCGCGATTTGGCGACTGATTATTAGTAGAACAGTTTAGGCCACCTATGGAACCACGATAGCTATAGCTAGCAACAGACGAAGGAGATCTAGAAAGAGACGAAACCCCGCCTGGAGTTCCACTGGAACCACTTGCCGAAAGAAATGCTCGCTGTCCAGTTAGCCCACCAATAGGACTGGTCTGTGAGCCAGGTGGAGTTCGTCCAGCAGCAGCAAGTGAAACGGGCGATCGACGTTGGGGTGGAGTAGGCGTACCAGCAGCAGGCAGTGGAGGAGGAACTACAAGTAGTCCAGGTGAAGATAGGATGGAAGCAATCGAAGAAGAGTTGCCTGTAACAGGAGGGTTGGAGGAAGCTGAAATTTGATGATGGTGATGATGGTGTGAACTATTAGTGACCGAGGCCGGTGACGATACTACATTGACGCCAGGAAGGTTGACATTTGTAGCGAAGAGGGTTGCTGTAGAAATTAAATCAAGGACAGAAAACAGCGAGTAAAAAACATAGTTAATGAGATTGAATGACAAGGGCTTAATATAGCTAGACCTACGAAAATACGAATTTATATGTAATTAATCTAAATACAGAGAAAGCAAAGTTTAGTAATTAAAATATAGCAATTTATGAATGAACTCCTGGGCCGAAGTGGCTTCATTTCACTTTAAATTATTCAGTAGCCTTCTATATAAAGCTATCCTTAGCCAAGTCCGGACAAACTGCTGGTTCTATCGAGCACACGTGCCATTATAATAAGGATCTTTATTAAAGGGCAAGCAGATAAAAAGAATGTAAGTTGAATGCCCTTTAGTTGTAAATTCCATGTAACATTTCGCCAGAGAAATAATCAACATAAATGTTCACAGTAGGAAATCAAGTTTTTAAAAAAGACAACAAATAAATGCTGCTTATAATACTTAAAATTTATGACAACAAAATAGATATTTAAATGAAGACAACTATTTATCCAAGAAATACAAATATTCGAAAAGTACAAGGTGAGATCAAGTGATAATGTATGATGGCTACTTGACATAATTAGAGCCTGATTAGCAACACTATAGTTGATCAGATAAGTTACTCTTAAAAATAGACATTGCGTGATGAAAAAGATTCAAAACAGCATGTATTTTTCTAAGTCTTATTTTTGTTTCTAATGTATTCATATATATATACTAACACCATTTCCCCGATTAGGGCCAAATCTAAGCTCGGTGATCCCCCCCCAAAAGATTTAAATGTCCTCATAATCGAGCATCCATGCAACCTTGTAGAAGAATATTCATCTCCCTTAATAAAAAATACAATTCTTAACTATTAAATTGAACACTACTACTATTCAGGTAAATAACATCCAAATAGACTAAAGAATATTGTAAACGCCTTGATATAAAGTCAACAATTGGTACCGGGTTGAGTAAATTCTGAAATAAGAATGTATAACATGACGATCTTAAGAATAATTAATTTTTTCCATCATCAAATATAGTATAGGATTTAACGTAGGAATATTCAAATGACCCACGCGTGTTGTTCTCAAGGCTACTAGAAGAGTGCTGTGTTACATTAGCTGGACGGTGACTTATAGTTGAACTTAGGGGAGCAGCTGATGATGAGCTCGGATTAGAGCTAGAGCAGGCATTGGCTCCGGCTGCATTAGTGGCAGCAACTGCATCCCAAAGAGATTGTTGAAATATTCCAGCATCATCTAAGTACCCCAGATAACCGCGGCGAATCTCCTCTTTGTTGGGGTAAGGACGTCTTGTATCACCCTGAACCCAATTATCAGGGGCGACCGCGCCGTGAGTTGCGCTTATACGGTGGGAGAAACGAATTAGCTCTTCAATGTCGACGGGATTTTTTACAGCAGTAGCCATCGAGTCAATTTTTTGACGAGAATAAAACAAAGCAGTGCTCTAAGTGTGTCAAAAAA